AATATGGGCAAAGAGAAGAATATATACTAGCCAGCCTGGCTCTGCAAATCACATCCCCAAACATTTTACTTCTTTATCTTTAAAATGTGGATTAAATAATACCTGTTTGGGGGCTGGGATTGTGGCTCAGCAGTAGAGCGCTCGCCTAGCACATCCAAGGCCCTGGGTTCAATCCTCAGCACCACATAAAAATAAAATACAGATATTGTGTCCAACTACAACTAAATAATAATAATAATAATAATAATAATAATAATAATAATAATACCTGTTCATTGGGCAGCTATGAGGATGTGTAAGCTAGTATGTGAAAAAGTCAGACCTTGGCACACAGCTCAATATCAGCAAGTGGTGCTTACAGATGCTGCTGTTGTTGGAAGATTAAAAAAAAAAAAAAAACTATACTTGCACATGTAATTTATGCAAAACAGGTAAAAGTACATCAATAATTTGAGAATCGTTCATGGAAAATGACAGCCTTCAAGATAATTTAAAACACAGGGATAAATCTGACATATTCAAATGGCACAATTGTATGGTGTTCCCTCTAAATCACATACCTCTATTAACATTCTTAAAATTGGTAAGTAATATCTAGTGACTAGGTGTTTAAATAGAATGGTTACTGCGATCTGGCTGTAGCCTGCCCTGCAACTGTGACTGCTGACATTAATTACATTTTTATGTGTAGCATATGAATTGCACATTTTCTGGCTCTAGCACCAAACCAGAAGTAGAACATTCTCTTTCAGTATGAGTAATGGAAAGAAGAATCAGTATCTCGTGACTTGGGGAGGCAGGGCTGGCGAACAGGGTGATGGGCACATCATCAGCCCTTGTTCTTTGGGGAAAGAGTGGGGTTTGATAATGAAACAAACCCTTATGTACAAGAAGCCCTGGAATTCTGACCTGTATGTAAAATGATAAAGCAGTGCTTAAGAGAGTAAAGGCAGAGTCCTCTCCTATCCATATCTGATTATCCATATCTGAATGAGGGTCTGGAATTGAGTAACTCATTTTGTTGAATATATGAAGCAATCAATGTAGACTCAAAGGTAGGATTTTCAGTGTGGAAAGGCTATAGGGGATATGAAAGGCAAGGATTGCTGACCAACTCAAGCATTCATTTGGCTAATCACTACTATTGAAATTTGAGGACAAAAAGTTTAATTCAGCTATAAGCAAAGATGTTATGTACTTCATAACAAGTGATAGATGATGATCTGAAAGTGTACATCACAAAGCTGCCTCATACAGTCTCCTTTGAATGAGAACACATTTTTTTAATGTGAGATTAATGGATAATCTCAAATTGCATAATTATTACAGGTATCTGGAATTAATTATTACAATATCAATGATAATAAAGATACTAGTTACTTAGGACTTATTAAGTCTAGACACTGGGCTAAGTTGCTTTCCATGTATGACTCATGAATCCTCCATACTACTACTGGGGAATAGCTTTTTATACCTACTCTACAGATGAGGCTTATGAGGTTTACAAATACTCTCAAGTTCATATAACTACTAATGGTGGCAAAGTCAAGATTTACACCCCAAATATCTGATTTCAGAGTATAAAAGCTGAATCACTGTTATTCTGACCAACACACTTTAAAGGTCTAAGTCTAAAATAATCAAACATTTGATTGATTTTTGCTTTTTAAAATGGTTCCCTTTTTCAACCTGTTGAAAACTTTCTGTCAAGCTAGGGCAACTATGTCTGTAATCAGATCTGATGTGATAAGACTTAAATCTTTAAGCTGTTTCCTGCCACTATGTATGCAATTAGGTATTTTTACAAGTGTCTTCTTGATAATTACATGCATTTGGACACAAGAATATCACTGGAATTAACCTGGTCCAAACTTCTTATTTGACAGAATAGTCTGAGAAAAAGAATTCTGTTATTGACTAAACTGAGTAAGATGTAGCTGTTTAACAGGTCAAAACTCTCAAGAACACAGAATTATCTAAATCTCCAAATAGACATGGGAATAGTTTTGGAAAAAAAGTGTCAGAATCCTCTCCCAAGAAAACAAGCCTTATGTCCCCAAGGACTACATAGGGGTTGTAAAAATCACATCAGACCAACTCTGATGATTTCTTCCCATTTTCAAAGAAAATAGTACTCTAATCTAGAACTATAACAATGGAAGATGTGTTTTATAAAGGAAAATTGGTGATTAAAAAAGAATAAGCAGACAATACTAGTGTTACTTTCTAATATAAAGGAACATGAAATTCTTTTGGACTTGAACAATGTAGATTTTGGCTTTCTTTGCATTCAGATGACAAATGTGTTCTAGGTTAATCAGTCTTTCTCCTTAATAACCTCTGGCTTTCTTTTTGCTTCTGCCTCTTGTTCTTCCAACAAGATGGAAAGGTGAGGTGTGCAGTCTGCTTGTTGACGTGAGGAAGGTAGAAATTGGCATCTGTAATTGTAATGAGCATTGCTTTTTCAGCTGGTCATCAATGGATAAATGAGAGAATCAGTTGCTCTCTCCACTAAATGATAAAGTGATCAGGAATCCACTGTAAATTCTTTGAGTCTCAGAAAATCTGGACATGAGAATGCTAGATAGCAAAAAAACAGACATGTCTGTCTGTCTGTCTCCTTTCTGTAATTACTGTGCATTACCTGGATCCCTCTTCAAGAGCCAGGAATTCATTCCCCCCAAATTCTGGGAATACTGGTTCTGAAACTCACAGCTGATCCCTCTCTGGGAATTGTCTTTGGGTAGTTACCCTCTACCAAAGGGAGCTAGCCCACCCCAAGATTGTGTATCCCTTCCCAAGAGCAGTTCAAATCCAATGCCTCCAAAACAAAGGCTGGCTATGAGACAACTCCAAAGGCTATCCTGCCCCCGAGCTCTATAGGTTCAGCTTCTTCCTCTGTCCAGGCTTGCCTTTTCCCTCCCTTCAAGAGTAGAGAACATTCTCTTCAATCTTGTGAATTATCTCTCAAGAGTTCAAAGCAAGTGAGCAGAAGAGAGGGAATTCAAGTCCAAATCCATTTGACTCTCATTCTCAGATTCTACCAATGTTACCAATCTCTTGACTTTGACTCTCAAATTCTTACATCTTAGCAAGACACATACAATCCCTCCTCATTTGACCATCTTTTCTGGTCTCATAAGCCATCACCCACTCCCATACAACCCCTGGCCCAATCATATCAAACTTCCCCAGAACATATGCTGTCACTTCCGTGGGAGAGCCTTTTGTCCTTGTCTGCTTGATGAATGCTTGCTTCTCCTAGAAGCCTCACTTCAAGTGTTCCCTCTTGCATGAAGCATTTCCTGATCCCTTGGTAAAGCTGAGATCCCTAGCCTTAGGCTCCCACAGTGGGTTGTGCATCTCTGGAGTGTGGTAATCCTTAATTATTATAATGAACTTCTAACAGGCAGGGACGTGTCTTTTAACTCTGGTTTACCAGGCATTTAAAAAATGTTTTGTTAAATGGATAAATGAACTCTATTGAGGAGCTGGTCCTTTAGGTCCTGCCAGCACCTTCAAGACTAGAAAGCATCTTTTAATGTCATTCAGATTTGGATCAACTGCAACATCCTTGAAGATGAGGACTGTTTTTCTCCATCTCTATACCCTTTCTGACACCTAACATCCCAATCTCCTGCTCATGGGAGAGACTCAAGAACACCTGCTGAACCAAAGGGGGTCTCAGCAGAAAGGGCCAATGAACAAGAAAATTACTTCACTTTTCCAGCTCAGTTTAAACTCCTTTTTATAATCGCCATTACCTAAGATACTATGATATTTCTCTTCCTGTTCTCTTCTTAATTAATATGCTCCTCAGTTCCAATTTTTAAAAATTCTCCTTTGTTTGAAACATTTTTTCCCCATTAAATAGAGCACATGATAACTTAGGGCTTGCTAAATTCCATTTCTAGGTCAGAAATCAAATCTAATGTGGATACATCAGACAAGACTAAGAAGATTTCCATCTGGCCTGCTTAACACTACGTCTTTGTTTTAAAGGGCCTCTTTGAAACATAAATATATCATTAATCTACAGAGTGGCTCACCCTGCCCCATTTTCTTTCTGAAACTCATAATTACTTACTGAAGAGTAAATACAGGTATAAATATTGACACTGAATACTATTAATACAAAGCTGAGAGGGATGGGGAGGCTCTTGTCCTACAAATATAAAAAGCCAAGGACCAGTCTTACTGGGCAAGTAGCTGCAGTCTCTGTACAGGAAATGGTCCAGTTTTGTTATTGTTGTCAACAAAAATGTCCAAACAACCAAAAAATTGCCAAGAGTTGGCTGAGGCTAGCAACGATGACAAAGAGCCTTCAAATCTGTTTTCTTTCTTCTTCTTCTTTTTTTAATGGATTTGGGAAAGAGGAAGTTCTCTGGCGAGTAAGGAACTGAATTTTCTGTGCCCTGTGGAATTTTTTTCTCATTGCTTTCTCACAGCCCCTGCTGCTGATATGGTGGGAATAAGAAAAAATTGTGATAACATTTTTCCAAGAGAGCAGCACATGGGGTAATCTTGTTCTTCACAAGTCTGATCATGTGTGAGCCTAAGACAGAATCAGAGGTTTTTCTTTTCTCATCTTATTTTTCTTAAGCTCAGACAGTTCCTAAAGACAGAAGTGTAATTTGCAAGTACATCTTTTTCAAAACTGTGTTCACGTTGTTCAGGCCATAGATCCAGTAATTTGCTGAATATAACTATATTTAGTATCTAATACCATATACATACCATACATGTATTATACACACACACACACACACACAAACTATATTTAGTATCTAATACCATATACATACCATACATGTATTATACACACACACACACACACACACACACACATACACATAAACTATGTCTCCTCAAGGTTAACTTTTTATTCTGTGTCTTTAAAATATTCACTCCTTTAATTTTTTCCAGGCACTGTTCTCACTCCTGGTTTGAGACAAGGCAGTTATCAGAAAGCATGCTGCGGGAGGATTTACTGGGTGTACCTTTTTAAACATCCTGGTGGAATCCTCACTTATCTGCATGAACCGCATAATCACATTGTTCAGATAGATGTCACTCAAGGTTGCGTGGTCTTTGCTTTCTCTCCTTACTTGGTTCAGGAGCAAATACCAGCAGTTGACTGGAGACAATAGGTTTTGGTCTTTCCTGAGAGGTGAAGAAAGACAGAGTTACTATCAGTTTCAGAGTTGCCCCAATCAGTTGAGTGATGTCACTCTGGCAAACTAAGGAGACACAAAAGATCAGGATTCTGCTCTGAGTGTTTCTTAGACCAGGACACTCAGCCCACTGAACAGTCTTTCATCCTGCACATAGCATAGGGCCAGCAATTAGTTTGCCAGGCGTGGGAGGAAAACCTTGACCATGAACACCAGTGAAATCCTGCACTCCTGACCAGGTCTGCAGGACCCCACCATACACAGTGCTCAGGCAGCCCTTCAGCTTTAAATACACCATTGAAGAAGGCAATTTATGTTTACATAAAAATCTATTGACTACTATGCCTTAGATAGAGTGTGGTTTGCCACAGCACAAAGTCTGCTTTGAATGTTCCGTTTGCTCTTGGAAAAGAAATTTGGTTAGTTACTCTTTCCACAGAACATGAACTTGAAGGTTATTTATTAATCCCCTGATATATAACCTTTAGCCTCCCAAACAGGGTTCCCGGGGAATCAGAGCTCTATGGCACTGTCTTGAAACTCATGAACAGAACCAAGAACTTTGCTAGCTCATGACTTCACACAAGTCCTATTGAAACCCATTAAACTTTTTCAAATTTGTAACTGCTTCTTGTTTTATTCTGGATAATAAATCCAAAAGTGACAATAAACCACTAAGGAGACGTTTTTAAGAAATTTCAAAGAAAAACTCCAAACAAAAACATAAACAACTGGGCTGGTACTGCTTAAAATAAAAAGGTAAAGCACAATTTTTGCTTTTTTGTTTTTTCACTTTAAAAACAAACTGTAAAATGGCAACGTGGCACAGAGTGTTTATCCTAACTTGGGGATACACATGCCATTTAATTGGATGTGTTATTTTATTATTCATGATCATTTATGACCCTAAACATTAACAAAGTTGGGGAAAAAATGATTATGTCAGGTGTTTGTGTCACTAAGTCTCTTAGGCTCTGGATTTAATACTGCATCAAGTCTAAACCCTCACCAGAAGAAAAAAGCAGAAATAGGCTTGGGGAAGAGATGAATCAGGCACTTGTCAGGTCTTGGCACTTGCACCTCAAGAGCAGCCCCTCCCTTTCCCTGTGGCACACTGAGAATTATGACCCCCACCTGGGAAACTCCCATTTATTTTCAAAGCCATCAGGGAAGGAACACTGGCTCTATGGGAGGTAACTGGAGCCACTCTATTGACATTCCCTATCTACCCAGCCACATAAGTCAATGTTACCTTCTTTACATCAACATGTATGTGTATCATTTATTTTAAAGTACTTCATAAATTCACTGAGGATGTTTCAAACTTTTTTTTGTATCTTCAGTGTTCTGCCCCACTGTGAACATTAAATCAGTATTATTCATAACAACACATTATTGTTGCCATATTATTACTATTAGTAATAACGGGGAAGTACTGGGGAATGATATAATCCTATATCCATGTTCTAATATACCACAAAGAATCATACATATATTTTTTCCATGTGTATATATATATATATATATATAAATTATAATGCATTAATTCAAATAATAATGCTGCTGCGCACAGTGGCACATGCCTGTAATCCCAGTGGCTCAGGAGACTGAGGTAGGAGGGTTGCAAGTTCAAAGCCAGCCTCAGCAATTGTTGAGGCCCTAAGCAACTTAGTAAGACCTGTCTCAAAATAAAATATAAAAAGGGCTGGGGATGAGGCCCAGTGATTAAGTGCCCCTGGGTTCAGTACCTGCTAACAAATAATGATAATAATAATGACAATAACAACAGCAACAGAAGGGAGATCAGTAAGTAGAGTAAGCCAATTCGGGGAGGGAGAAAGAAGGTAGTGGGGAATGAGGTTGATCAAATTATGTAATGTGCATGCGCAAATATGGCTTACTGAATCCCAATATTATGTATAATTTTAATGCACCAATAAAAAATAATAAGAATGGAAGGTATCATTTACTAAGTGAGAAGCAGTATACAGGTCAAGATCACAGACTCTGGAGCAATGCTCTCTAGGTGCTTATTCCATCTACCATTTACTAGCAAAGTAGTTTGGGGCAAATGATTTCAACCTCTCTGTGCTTCAATTAATTTTGTAGAATGGGTAAAATAATAATATCACCTCATAAGATTATTATGCGGATACCTGAGTTAATATATGCTTTTAAATGCTTACAATAATGCCTCAGGCACATAGTTAGTGCTATATAAAGTTAGCTATGATTATCTAGGGCTGCTCTAAAGAGTTGACATTAATTCCACTTAATCCTTACCACTACCATTTAAGGCAGAGATTCTTTGTATCCTTTCTGTCAATGAGAGAATTGAAGCTTAGCAAGGCACTGTGATTTGATAAAGACCAAAGCTAGTGTCAAAGTGAGCCTTTGTGTTCAGGGAGGCCGATCCAAGCCTTGGTCTTTTCTGTTATGCAGTGGAAACTTCAGGACAAGGATTGTTCTGCACAATAAACATCCCCAAACTGAATAAGAGCAGACTCCAGAGTCCAGCTTCAATGAATGGTAACATTTCTGTGCTAAAGATAACAGCATTTTTTTTTTTTTTTGCAAAGGGAAAAAGAAATGCTGCATGCACATCCCATGTCAGCTATCAACCATATCAAGGACTTTGCCATGTTTCTCACTTAATGGTCATAAAATCTCATTTTACATATTAGGAAAGCAAGCCTCAGAAAGGGTATGTCACTTAAGCAAAGCTGCCCAGTGGAGCCATTATTCCAACCCAGGTCTGACTGACAATTTAATAAAGCCTGTCTTTGAGATTTTCTTAATTGTAGTTTAACCTTTCCACAGATTAATTATCTATTTCATTTTTTGTCCCATATTCAATAATAAACTTGATCAAGTCAAAGAAAATTTTAAGCTGCTTATCTTTTGAAGAAAACTCTCAAACAAAACCTGGAGAAACAAAAAAGTGACATCAGATTCACTAAGGGCCAGATTATGGAGCATGAGCCCATCCATATTTTCAGTTCACAATCAATTACTAAGTACAAAAACACACAAAAAAAGACACTCAGATGTATTTGTTGAATGGTGAGTGGGCAGTCTAATTTGCAATTGCTTTTAAAAAGGAACAGTTGCTATCCATGTGAATATAGTACTGGCTCTAGTCTCCTCTTTGTGGCCTCAGTGTCTGCCAGTGCATTAGACATTTGGTCACCCTGGGAATCATCATGAAGATATATTTCTATGCTGGACCCAAACTAGAGGCTAAACTCATCCATAAAAGAAGAAAGAAGAGTGAAAAAGAAAGAACAAAAAAAAGATATTCCTTATCCAGAATAGAAAGCTATTTGCCTCTGCAAACGTACCCCACCCTACTTTTTATGAAGGATCTCAGGACAGGGAGGGGTATACAATGGCACTGCAAACCCAATGGTGAAGAAAAAGGCCTGGCGCCCAGCGGCCCAGCCTGAGCAGACAGCTCTCCTTGTCCCTCTGTGCAGGGGGGCAGATGGTTTATGCCCAGGTGGGATTAAAGGGTGGTACCACTGCCACTTAGGTCTTCCCTTCCCTCTTCCTTTGTCAGGCCCTAAAAATTTCCCTTGCTTTCCCATGGGGACAGCTGTACAATGAAAAAGATGCCGATTATATTTTAACCAGCATTCCCAGCAGTTTTGTGGCAGAAGTGTTTTCCAGATTATCTGGCCCACTGTATTTCCAGAAATGAAAGTCTATGTTGCCTTTTTACTATCTCCCGAACAAGGTCCATTTGTCTCTGCCCATGGGGTGCCTGGCTCTTGCCCTTACAGGGAGAGGCCCCTTGTGTTCCTTCTCCCTCTGTCTTCTTCCAGTCCATTATTCTACCTTTGGTCTTTGTCATCATTTTAAAATGCAGGTGAGGGCGGGTCCCATTTTTTACTTAAAACTCTCCAAAGGCTTCTCATGACCTCAGAATAAAATCAAAACTGCCCAGGAAGATGGTAAGAATTCCACAATCAGCCCCAATGTATGCCTGTAGCCACTCTGTTCACCCCTCACTACTCCTTCTGCTGTGGTCCCTTACCCATGAAGCTCCCCTGGCCTGAAGTCCTCCTCAGCTCCCCTTTACTGGCCAACTAGTCCTTCAGGTCTCCACTGAGATAAGGCTTCTTCCGGGACCTTCCCCCACCTCCACCATAGAGTGGATCTCAGGCTACCTGTCTATGGTGTCCTGTGCTTCCCCTGATGGAGCACTCGTACCCTCTACTGGAGCTGTGGGCCTTCTCTGTCTCCAGGATTTCAATTATAAAGTAAAATTCATTAATAGAATAACCTGCATGTGTTTGTTAAATTAATGCTAAGGTTTAGTTACGTTCACTTACACATTTTGCTAAAAGCTTTTTTTTTTTTTTTTTTTGTACTGGGGATTGACTTAACAGTCCAGTTACATCCCCAGCCGTTATTATTTTTTATTTTGAGTTAGGGTCTTGTTGAGTTGCTGAAGCTGGCTTTGAACTTGTGATCCTCCTGCCTCAGCCTCCTGAGCTGTTGGGATTACAGTTGTGAGCTACCTCGACTGCTAAGCTCTTGTTTAAATCGGTTTCAACTGCAATGATCACAAACATGTTGGGTGGGTAAGGTGGGGAGTGCTAAACAAACCCTTATTGCTTCATTTCATATAAAATCATTACAGAAATCTTAAGGTCTTTGCTTGAAAAGCAGTTATTTCAAATTTGCCCTTTCAAATATCTACCTGTGACTGATTTTAACTACTAGTTTCCTGTAATCAAGAATTTTACTGCCAGGTGTGGTGGTGTATGCTTGTAATCCAGCTACTCAGGAGGTTGAGATGGAAGGATCATGAGTCAAGGCCAGCCTTGTAACATGTGAAACCCCATCTCAAAAAATAAAAAAAGAACCCAAAGAAACAAAATAAGAATTTTACAAACACTTTTTTTTTGGTCTTCTTATATATAAACTTATCCATAAATATATGTGTATTGGAGGCTGGGCACAGTAGCACATGCCTATAATCCCAGCCTTTGGGAGGCTGAGGCAGGAGGATCATTTGATTTTAGGATCATTTGAGGTCAGCCTGGGAAATTTAAGGAGACCTATCTGAAAAATAAACTTATAAAAAAGATCTGAGATTTAGCTCAGTGACAGAGCTCTTGCCTAGCATGCCTGGGCCCTGGTACTGAAAAAAATAAATATATAATATACACACATAACACACATATTATTATAAAGGTTTTAGCAAAATGATTATGAGTGAACATAATATGAATATGTTAAATATGTATGTATGGAAACAGAATAACTTTAAGAGAATACCATTATTTTAAAATATGATAAATTGATGTCCAGGACCTATAAATGCAAAGGGTTGCTTTTATTTATAGGGATGTGTCTACCAATATCTTCTCAGATAAAAATAAAAAAGTCTTAAACCAATAGGATTTGTTTAAAAGGCTGGATATCATCTTGAAAAGGTGCATTTGAGTCAAGTCTCTCTTACTTGTACTGCTGGTGATCCTTGGTGCTTCTCGTTTTTGCCATGAACCTTTCAGCCAACTTCTCCAGGTTCCTAGAGTATTCGGTCTCAATTTCGGCTTTTTTCCGGAAGAAATCTTGCAGGTCCTGGAGGAGCTGAACTCGCATCTCTGTTTGCTGCTCCAGGCATTTTTGTTGTTCTACCAGTTGAGCTCGGATTTCTATGAAAAGAAGAGAAGAGACTGGATGATTTCATGAAAATTATTGAGGTGTGCTGGTATGGACAAGGTACAAGGATTGAATCCTGTTGTATATTTAGGTGTGTGCTCCACCTCTATTAGAGTGCTATGTCCAGGTCGGTTCCTTAAATAAAATGTCTGCTGATCCTTTAAAGTATGAGATGAGACTTAGGAAAGAATGTAGTAAATTAGAATAGAAATGTGGGTCACATCTGTAATGCCACAAACACGCATGGGGTCATGAGGGGGAATAATTAAAGCAGATAACTATTCATAGGAGATAACATAGGACATCTTTGGTAGCTGAATACACTGTAATTTTTTCAGCAGCATTTTACCTCAACTACTTTGAGTTCAAATAGCAAAGAAATCGACATCATTCCTTCAAGATTTTTGAGCAACTACAAGATTTTTGGCACACACAGAGGCTGGCATCTGGTGCATCAACTTCTCATTTGTAAAACCCATAGCTTCGGGGATTAGTGGAATGCTGTGCCTAAACATAACTTCTTTCTATATCTAAATAATCCATTCATAATGGGGTACCCTCAGATTCTACTTTATCATTCTGTTCATAACTTCAAGGCCTATTCACTTGGCCTTCAGTTTTTTTACACATCATTCAAACTAGCACCCTTATCAGCACATAAAAATATGAAAGAATCCTTTGACAATTTTCATATATTAGGAACAGGAAGGTTTAGTCATTTAGTTATTTTGAAAAAGCATAAAAGCAAAAATGTGGCATGCAAAAATATCTGTAAATGACTGTTACAAAGAAATGTGTGTTTTGGAAAGGGAGATACAGTAACTATAACCACTGACTTGTTTTTTTGTTCTGAGATCCAGGGCTAACCCCAAAGAAAGAATATATACTGCAAAACTTCTTTATCACATCTTCCCCAGGGTCAATGCGCGTTCCCTGTAAGAGGGCATGGAATCTAATTTGGTGGAGTTAGTAGAAATCAATGCCCAAATAATACTTCTTCAATTTCTTCCCTATTATCCTTCTTCAATGGAGAAGGACTGAGCTGACTATACATACTCATGAAGCCTATACATCCTAATCAAATCCATGATAGCTGGTGATCAAGTTCTGAGTGGAAGAGATGGTCAGGAAATTTGCTGATTTTTAACAACAGCTCATTGTAATGCAGGATTTGCTATTCTACTAGTAGGAACTAGCATCACCTTCCACTTTTACACATAGTACACTAAAATTTAATGAGATTAAACACTTTAAGAATTTTAGTTAGTAAGTAGTTCCCCCAGGACCTCCAACCTTGATCTCTGAGTTTGACTAAACAAATGCTTTCTGCCCTCCTTCCATCCATGCCATGATCTGAAGCAGCTGTACTGTGCCTGGCTTATGTCCCGGTAAAGAAGACATGAAATCGCACCCTCCATAACATTATGCTCCAGGCGGCGTTCTTGTGGGGGACCAAGACATGGAAGTATTTCCCATTTTTCTCTTGATTTCTCCATGTCAGATTGAGGGATACTCTTACTAACCTTGCAGAAGTGTGTGGACACCAGCGTCAACACCTTATCATTGGCTTTTAACTACCATGAATTGCATCTGGTTTTCAGTCAATCAAAGTAAGTATTTTCCAATACAGTATTATGATCAGCATATCTGCCAAACTCTTTCTCCCAAAAATACAGAGCTATTTTTGTTTCATAAAGGAAAAAAAAGGGGGGGGGGGGGGGGTATTTCTCATTCAGGAATTCCAGTAAGTCTTTTGAGATGAAGTAATTTTAGAACATCTTGCTGTGCTAAGATAAAATAAATCAATCATCTTAGGCTATCAACTACTTCTTGCTCCCCCCCCCACGTGTGTGTGTGTGTGTGTGTGTGTGTGTGTGTGTGTGTTTAAACTGCCTTACTGCTTAATAGGAAATAAAAGTAGCTGAGAGTACAAATCACATCAAAAATTACATAGGTTTTCTTATTGAGTCTCATTTTAAAATATTCTTTTGCTTACTTATACCAAGATTTAAAATTAAGAACTACAGAGTTCTGAGAAGGACTGAGTTTAAACAATTTAATCCTCATCTTTGTTTTATGGAGAGTAAATGTTACTTCATGGTGTCATAATTTTCCAATCAAAGTAAAGACACTTGTAGCATTTCAATAATAGTGAAACTGTACAGTGACAGAATCTAGAGAATCTCTGTGAGAAAATAAATATGCTCTAGAATGTGGAAGAGAACCCTTTGATTAACTTTTCAATTTGGAAAAGGTTTGACAAACAAGAAAAGGATGTTTAAACTAGAAAACTACTACCTTAGGAAATACCTTGTTAGAAGGAAAAACTGGATTCCTTAGACCACATCAGAGCTACAAGGTAGCAAGTTGCTTGTGGAACTTTTAAATGAATGCATAGACGAGTAAAATAAATGTTAGCCTGCTATTAGAACAGAGAGCAGCAGTCCATGGTGCACTGAGGCCCACACCAGGAAACTCACAGTAGGGCCACAAGTGTTTGCATTAGAGGTTAGGGCTGGCACCAGTGAAACCTCAAGGAGTGATTTCTAGAAAAATAGAGTCTTGTTTTATACCGGGGTTTGCAGCTTCCCTCCCTACACAAGATTCTTTGAAAGTCTATTAAGACCCTTTCTATCAGCTTTCTTGTATTAGTATTGATCTGGATTGTTAAAAAAAAAAAAATCAAGGTTCATTTTAGTTTAGTGGAACAAGCAATTACTGTGCTCCCATTTTGTGTTAGGCAGAGTCCCAAACTATGGAAATAAAAAGATTTGTAAGACACAGCTCCATCTTATAGGGAAGATAAATCCTAGAATCATGTTACACTGTGATTAGTACAATAATAAAGGAACTATGGAAAGAGGAGCTGAAACCAGCCCACACTTAATGTTTGGAGAACATAATGCTTTGAGGAATAAGTAGGCTACAAAATATACAGCTGTAGCCACTAAGAAGATAAAAAGACCCCACAGTATATCTGATAAAGGACTTGTAGATAGAGTACACCAAGAACTTTTGTAACTCAATAAAAACAAAAACTCAATTTAAAAAGTAGGCAAAGGGTATCAATAGATGTTTCTTCCAAGAAGATACACAAAATAGCCAATAGCATTTGAAAAGTTGCTCAATGTTATTAGTCATCGGGGAAATGCAACTCTAAAGCGTGATGAGACAATCTTTCACACCCATTAGGATGGCTACAGCAAGAAAGACAATAACAGGTGCTGGGGAGGATGTGGAGAATTGGCATCCTCATACGTTGCTTTTTGTAGGAAGGAAAGTGATACAGTTACACAGGAAAACTTTCTGGCAGTTGCTCAAAACGTTAAACATGGAGTTAGCAGATGATTCAGCACTGCTACTCCTAGGTACACATCTGAGCGAAATGAAAATATATTTCCACACAAAAAGCTGTACATGAATGTGAATAGCAGCATTATTCATTATAGCCAAAAAATGGAAGCAACTCAAATGTCTATCAACAACGAACAGATAAACAAAACATGGAATAGCCATATGATAGCCTATTGTTGAACCATAAAAAGGAATGAAATACTGATTTATGTCACAGCCTTGATGAACCCTGAAAATGTAAGCTTAGAGACTGAAACCACTCTCAAAAGACCCCATGATCTATGATTCCATTCATGTGAAATGTCCAGAATAGATTAATCCATAGAGACAGAAATATTAGTGTTTACCTAGGGTTGGTGGACTTGGGGAGAAAAGGGAAGTTACTGCTAATGAATGCAGGATTTTTGGAGGGCACAGATGAAGAAAATGATTTAAAATTGATTTTGGTAATGGTTGCAAAACTCTGAATATACCAAAAAATCACAGAGTTGGTAAAGTATCTAATATGTAGATTATATCTAAAAATACCTGTTATATTAAAAAAAGCTATATTACAATTCCATAAAATTTTAGTTGTTGATAAATTCCTGTTTAATGATGGTCATCATAATAATAAAAACAAGTTCACATTTCCATGCCTAGGATGTTTTGGATACTTTTTTGTCAAATTAGATAATATATTAATAAGCCCTTTTAAATGATGTCTGCATAAAATGACTCTCACCTCAATATTTTTATTTCATCTTGAATTTATCTATAAACAAAACAGTAAATCTATTTATTGGCCAACATCATCTGTATATTAATTGCTACCATGTCTAATGGTATGGAAAAGATTTTCCAAACAGAATACTAGAAAGGGCTTCCACCATCACTCCCACATACCTACATAGAATGGTGCAACATCTTTCAGGCAGAAAAATGTGAACTTGGAGAAGGCTGAGAGCAGACATTATTTGAAATCTAGGTCAAGACCCACTAAATAATCATAATGGTTGTTATAATGGGGGCTCAAATTTCTTTGTAAAAAAAAATGACTGTTAAGTCTTTCCTGTTCTACTAGAGTATCAAACAGAATCAATCAACATCAATAAAAGAACTGGGCTGGGATTATGGCTCAGTGGCAGAGCGCTTGCCTAGCATGTGTGAGGCACTGGGTTCGATCCTCAACACCACATGTAAATAAATAAAAAATAAAGGTATATCAACAAAATATTTTTAAAAAATAATTGAATAAGAAAAACCTACAAGAGCGTGATTTCAAACAATAAATAAAATAAATAAAAATAATGTTCCTCAAAGCTATAAAATGACTAATCCAATGACTAATACTTACTTAATAAAATGGAATTGCCCAGAAATAGAGGAAATGGTGGAGTTTCTTGTTACTGCTCCAATAAGGGAAGTCTTAATTCTTAAAATAAATTGGTGCAAGACCACAGAATGATGTAAATGGCATGGAAAGACAGGTCCTGCCTGGCTGTTTCTTGAATGTGTTACTGAATGAACAAGTAAGACCAGGGCATGTAAGTGATAGGCTTCTGTGATCCTCTTAATCATCTAGGAAATAGTAGCTCTAAAGCATCACAAACCATCTCAGTTATTTCATATTCTCATTTGGCCAGTTAGTGAAAAAGTC